ATCAATTGGTTAACAAATCTATCCACCAGGGATTTTGCTTCAACATTCTCAGTATTGGTAAGTAATTTAATTTTCAAAAGTGTAAATTAATTTGAACAGGTCCTGTTGAAAAGTTAGAAGCAATGAAAATAACAAAGATATTAATGTTGACCTTCAGATACTGATTCAAAGGTGACATAACTAAGTTTATTTACCTTTTTACAGTAAATTTCTTAATTTGCTTAATTAAACATATTTAATTTCTTAAGTACTTTATATTCCTTAACTGTTTTCATTCTTTAAGCTTCACAAACATTATAAAATCTATTGATAGCTTAGTGCTTCTTTATGGTTAGCAGTAATTCCACATTGGTTTATTTTGATAGTAAAAAATAGCTTTTACAGCCTTTGTATTTATTTAATGAAAATGCTATTCCATTTTTTCTAGACAGCATTTCTAAACATTTTCCTAACTATTTTCAGGAAATACTTATCAGGATTAAAAGAACTTAGTGAATAATTTGCAAATACAACCTTTAATAAATATTATTGTTCCTTTTTAAATTCAGAACCTCATCTAAAGCAGAATAGGCTTTAAGCCTAATTTTGATAAAAAGTATGCTATTATGAATTAAGCAGTGGAGTTTAGTAATACAGATAGTCCTCAACTTATTTAACTGTCAACTGTTTAACAATGGTTCAAAGTTACGACTTGGAAAAAGTGACTTGTACTTGCACTTGCATTTGCACCAATGACCGATGTATCACTGCCATGGTCACACAATTGCAATTTGTGCACTTGACAACTTATTTACAACCGGTTGCAGCAATCTGCAGTCACATAACCATGGTTTGCATCTTTTGTTTGCCAATTTCTGACAAAACATGTCCACTGGGGAAGCTGAATTTGCTTAACAACTGCCATTAAAATTGGTCCAACCTGACTTATGACGACAATGACGTACAGTGAAAATTCTTGTCTCAATTATCATCATAAGTCGAGAACTACCTGTACATATGAATGATTAAAAATGGATATTTTAGCCCATATCAGTCATTATGAACATTGTTTGATTCAGTTATTGTGTCTCAGCTTATTGTATTTTAGAGGATTGATGTGAGAGTAACAGAGAATAGAAAGCCATGTAACTTATGAAGACAGTGTGTGAAGACAGTTGAATGACATGTAATGTTTTAAAATGATAGCATGTTAGATCATCTTCTGAAAACTCTCAGCACTTTGGTTTCAGTTTCTTCGATACGGTTCCCATAGAGCAAAAGAGAAAAACTGAAATGAAATCAGGGATATGGAAGTGACAGGGGAAGACAGAAGAAAATGAAGACTTGATGAGAAGGAATAGTTCTTGCAAGTTCCAGAGTGAAGCTAATGGGCACCTGATGTCTTTTTGAGAAATGTTTTTGCATATTGTTCAGATGTTACTATAAAAATTACAGAAGGAAAGGCATTTCTAATTGTATCCATAATGAAGCTATAACAAAACTCACTGTATTACTTTTAAATGGTAGAAATGAAGTTTTTCTTTTTGTGTTTCAGTGACATTTATGAAAGTGATATAACTGTACTTTTTAAATCTCTCTTTAATTTTAGGAGAGACAGGAATTGGAAAATCAACTTTGATTGATACCTTGTTCAATACCTCTTTTGATGATCATGTGTCAACACACTTTCAGCCAAATGTGAGGCTTAAAGCTCAGACTTATGAGCTTCAGGAAAGCAATGTCCGATTGAAGCTAACAATTGTAAATACAGTTGGATTTGGGGACCAGATAAACAAAGATGATAGGTCAGTATCTTTTAATTCAAATGAACTGCCTGCTGCTGATCTAGATTCTTGACATTTATTTTATGTAATAAAACAAATATAACTGTGGATAATCAATAAAGCATAACATCTAATAAAGCCACTGGTAATAATTTCCAGATAGTTGGCTATAGTTGGAAACTATGTTCTTTCTTAATGTTGCACAGGAGACATTTTGTTTTCCTCATTAGTTTATCAACAGAGTATTAGGATCAACAAATTATATTTGACTAACGGCTTGCATGTGACAACTTCATTTTTTCATTGAGCAGCTGTAAGCTGCTCTAGATTTCCATCTGTTGTAAAATAACTTCAGAGAAAAACAAGATGTTCTAAACTTGCAAATGATCGATTGTTTGGATTCTCATGTTATGGTCACTCTTTGGACTAAGCGCGTGCACACACAAACACACACACACTCTAACATGCAAACTTTCTACTCATAGAACTCGTTGTGGGTCTACATTGAGACTTTGCCAGTTCACCCACTGCCTTGGAATGTCTCTCCCACAATATTTAATTGAGCCCTTAAATCAGCCTCACCCTTCATGAAAATTTCTACCAAGTCTGGCCCCCAATATCACAACAATACCTTACTGGTTTGGCCCCTCATATCTTCTGTTTGCATAGATATCTCTACCAAATGTGACCTTAGATCAGTGATGGCAAATCTTTTAGAGACCGAGTGCCCAAACTGCAACCCAAAACCCACTTATGCATCGTCGGGTGCCGGGTGGGTGTGGCCCATTGGCTGGGTGTGGCCCATTGGCTGGATGTGGCTGCGGTGGTAACGGCAGACTGGGTGGGACTAAAAAGTTCAATCAACCAATTCCAACTTTGCAAGATCTTTTTTTTCCAGCGAGAAGTTGAAATTGACTGATTGATTGAACCTTTTTTTTTTGCACACGGCGGCGGAGGCCTAAAGCGAAAAGGTTTTATAAAACCCAGCTGAAGGCCTAGGACTGGGGTGACGGCGCGCGTGCCCACAGAGAGGGCTCTGAGTGCCGCCTCTGGCACCCGTGCCATAGGTTCGCCACCACTGCCTTAGATGATCATTATTACCCCTACCAATTTGGCTTCTAAGATATTCTTCTCTCTTTCTCTCTAATTTACATGCTGCCCATCTCGCTATCCAGAGTGATATTTCTTTTCAGTGATGCATTCCCTACCTTTTCAGGCACAGCCATGCAATAACGTTCAATGTTGTGCCCTTTATATTCTTTAAATAAGCTGTGTGCATGAGGCTTAAGAATTGGACAAGGTTTGGATTTTACTGTTTCATTACTTAAAGCTTAGTGAATAGCCATAAAAGGTCAGATATTGTTTCTTCTATTTGAATTTTAGTCAATTGTTACAAAATTCAACGTTTAAACTTTGGTGAGTGATTTTAGAATTAAACATCAGAAGTTTGGTAAATGATTAGAAAGTTAAACAGCCTAGTTCAAGGAAATAGGGAGGGAAGAGAAAAGGGGAAAGAAGATCGGATACTTCTGATATATTCAAGCTGTGAGTTAATGTTAAATTGCCATTATATGCTATATAGTTTCTTTGTATTTCATTGACGTCTCAGAAACATGGAAAGTGAGTGCTGGAAAAAAATAGGAACCAATAGGCTGGTCCAGCCCAGTCTTCTTCTTCTTCCTCCCCTTTCTGTAGGCATTTCCCTTTCTTAAAAACTTAAGATACAAGATCTCTTCTTCATCTTACTCAGCCCATCCTTATCATTGATTCTTTCTATACAGGTAGTCCTCAAGATATCACTGTCACTTAATGGCTGTTTGAAGTTATCACAGACCCTCTAAAAGCTACTTAGAATCCTAGTTTGAAGTTAGATCGCGGCAGCGCCCCATGGTTATTTGCCCTTACAACTGACCATAGGGATGCTGCAGTTCTCCCCACCTCTCTTCCTCGCCAGTTCCCCCTATCCCACCCCACTGGGACCCCACAGGCCTTAGACCTGCCCATCACCCAGCACACACTTACCTTTTGAAGATCTCCAGCTGTAGAAAGCTTCCTTTTCCCATGAAGACTGGAGTTTTTCAAAAGGAAAACTTCTGCAGTGCTGTGCAGACCGCATTAAGGTAGCAAAACAGAGTGGTTTGTCCCTGGACTATGTATTGGCCTTGTAGAAGCAGCCACCATTTTTGCACACCTTCAAGAAATTGCGGGCATGCTGAAAATGATAGCTGCTTATGGGAGGCAGCCATGTGGCCCAGGGATGTGTGGTCTGACTTTCCTTAACATGATGTCTGGAAATCTTCAAAAGATAAGTGAGGAGGAAGGTGTGGGGCCTGGTGGGGTGAGAACCAGACCTAAGCCCTGCAGGGTCCTGCAGGGACTGAGAGTGAAGGCCTGTGGAGACCCAAGCAGCTGGAAGCCGAGTACAGGGTATCTCTGAGGGTGGGGGAATATTTTAGAGGGCCTGGGGCAGGTGGGTCTGGGCCTGCACTAGGCCTCCCAGGGCCTCCCACACCACTAAGGTACCCTATTCTCCGCTTAATGACCCGCATGTTTAACAGTTACATCAGGGAAAGCAGTGGTTGAGGGTTATTAAAATGAGGCCATCTCACTTCACAGTCATCATCACTTGCATCCGTAACAGGCAGACTCTATTAAGGTCATATCTCGAGGACTACCTGCACATGAGATAACCTTGTTCTCTTAGTTTGCCTCAGTATCTTGTATCAATGTGTTGTTTGTGATTAGGTATTAGCTCTTTCTTCTTCAGTGTTCTGAATCAACTTAGTTATAACATTTCGAAGGAGGTGTAAGGCAAGAATGGTTCTCCAGCACTGAGATGGAGACTACACCATTGGGTAGTAGACTGTATTCCTGCCCAATCAGATCAAGTCAGCCAAAGTTGCCACGCCCGTCCTGGACCTTAGACTCCAGTCTTTGACTTGATCTTGCCCAAGACAGACGTTGCAAGTTTGGCTCTAGGCAGGTATTATTCCTCAATGGTGGAATTTCCACTCTCCTCTTTAATTGGATTTCTTTTAAAATAATNTGTAATGGTTTTTCCCATGTCCCTGATTCTCTATAATTTTGCAGTTGTGACCAGAATTATTTCTCTTTCAAATTTCTTTAATTTGACTGTGACAAAATTATTTGATTTACTATTTCAGTACCATCAACCTGATATTGGAATGAGAGGACCCTTTACTTCACCAACAGATAGTCATGAGGCAGGAAAAGTGAGTTATTCTATTCTGTTCTGTTCCGTTCCATTCCATTTATCTGTATCTCACCTTTATTATTTTTACAAATAACTCAAGGTGGAGAACATATCTCACACATCTTTCTCCTATTTTCCCCACAACAATGACCTTGTGAGGTGGGTTGGGCTGAGAGAGAGTGACTGGCCCAAGGACACCCAGCTGGCTTTCATGGCTAAGGCAGGACTAGAACTTCTTCCCTTCCTGTCCTATCCGGTCCTGTCCAAGGCACTTAAATGTCTGCAGATTTATCATAGCATTATATAAGTTCCTTCCCCCTCCCCCACCTTACCATCTACATTATCAGAGCATTCTTTGCATTCTTTGGATATTTGTAGGGGATCATGAACAATTACTTGTTTATTCTGGCTCCAGAGAAGACATTTCTCTAAGTGGGAGCAGTGGCTATTCAGAGAGGATTTCAGCTGATAAATCTCTTGCTGCCGAATGCTGCCCAAAGCCATTTCACCAGAGTAGTTCCAGTTTCCATTACCATGTTTCATAGGACTGCACTTCTCAAAGTGTGCAAGGTTTATGCTGTACTCTGATGTGGCCGACAGATATTTGCATGGCATTATTAATAAATGTATGGGTCTAGAAAGATCCCTCCTGGGCATTTGTCTGCTGCTCTAAAGTAAGTTTGCTACTTACCTATAGTGGGATGCACAGAAACCTCAACAAAGAGTACGAAGCTTACTTGTAACTATAATTCCTAGAACACTCATGTGTGCATTCACACAGCCCCATTCTCTTTCCCCTTTCATGTGCCTTCTTTACTAAGTATCCTGTTAATAATGAGTATCAGTCCTTTAGAATGAAAGAAGAAGAGGGAGCATTATCTTAGCCATTCAAATTTCCTCAGTTGTGGAATACTGTATTCCCGATGAGGCTTTTGCCCAGGTGCAATATCTATATGTATGAATGTACTGTTTACCACTTGATACATGCCTCGGATTTATTAGCTAAGGACACATTGTTATGGGTAGCTTAATGAAGACATGTTATTATTTTAAATATTAAAGATCAAAATAAATATCATAATACTTGTGATGTTACTGAGTAGTTTTGGCTATGCTAAGGAATGACTAGAAATCTATTCAAGAGTATATTTTAGAATTTGGATTTAATCTGTAAGGATATCTTCTTATGACATTAATATTGCAAGCTGCTCAGAGTCTCCAGAACTAGAGCAATATAAAAATTCTATGAATACATAAAATGTCTCCAAACTAAGAACTTCCAAGCAGTGCTTGGAAACAAAACAAACAGAAGTCCCTGAAATTATCTATATCTATAGATTCTCCAGGGAATGGCTCAATAATTCCTGAGCGCTAGACATTAGAGAAACTGCAGACAGAATTCACAAGGCTTCTTGTCTTTTCTAAATCCAGCAGAAGGGTTCCTGGCCCTCCTTGAAATTCTCAATATTATACACATGACTAAGAGATAGAAAATGTGACTTTGTTTTCAGCTTATCCTTAGTTTCAAGGAAAATTGAAGCAGTGCTAGACTTCTATTTCTCCAAAATCTTTTTTAGAGTGACAGAATATTTTGGATAGCTGGAGTCTGTGGCAATCAGAATTAGTTGTCAATCAATGTTATGGGATCCTTGTGAGCAAACATTTAATAGCTAGACATCATCATAGATTTGTTTGATGTGGTACTTATGTCGCGAAAAAATGATCCAGTCAGTTTTTCCAGATGCACGATTGTTGAATTTTAAGGATGTGTATATACATATATTGTGGCCATATGTTAAGCTTGCTGAGAGAATCAGCTGTGTATTCCATAGGGAACATTGCAGGGCAACCCAATTTTTGGGGAGGGGGGCATTTTTAAAAAAAAATGCTATTGGGCTGGTATTGAAGCTCTGCAAATGAAAGGCCAGGTGATTTGGTAATATAAGTATCAAAAAGAGTGCACAAGTTTACAAGAAGGAAGGAATAGGAAACAGAAGGAAGCAGAAAGCTTCTGAAGGGATTAATAAAAAGAAGTGGTTTAGGCAAAAAGGATGGAATTAATGAAGGGGTTGAGGAGAAGAAATGACATACAAAAAGGAGAGAATAGAATGATAGGAACCTAAACATGCTTCTTCTTTGGTGTTAGGCTTATTGATATATACTAGTATTTTTTTTTTTTCAATATAAAATTTTATTGTTTTTATCATAAAAGAAAAAAGAAATACATCACAGGTATTACACAATGATTTATCCCATCCCCCCACCCCCCGGACTTCCCAAACCAAACCTAGGCTAATATTCAAATACAAGTAAACAAATATTAATATCTCTAACTCCAAACTCTAAACTTAAACAATCCATCTCC